TACCCTGACGTCATTCTTGGGTTCCTCCTCCTCGCCGTCCGGTGTTGTCGGTGTCCTCTTCCAGTCTAGCCGTGTCCTCATTCCAGCTGAACCACCAGCCATCCACCTTGATCCTCTGCCTGAAGCTCGAGACCCATGCTGACCTCCCTGCTTCATGAGCCTTGGCAGCGAGGCCCGACAACCATTCGTTGACTGCTTCCTGTCTCCATGTGAGGTTATCCCTCAAGGCAATGCCCTCCCGGGCTAGGTGTCTCTGTGCTCCCCTCTTCATCAGGGCCCTCTTCTGCGGACGGTTGTCCAGCCTTACAATTAGGCCCTTCTCGCCAGGGAACACTGCCTTCACCTCGATTTTGAATCCCAACAGCCTATCCACAGTCGTTCTAAATTCCTCCCCTGCCTCATCTCCTCTCTGAGAACGCAAACCCGTGACTACCACATCACTCTTCTGCCTCTCCTTAACATTGATTTCATGTTTCCTCACTGTTTCACTCAGCTTCTCTGGGGCGGAAGATTCCCAGTCGAGACCCTCCAGTGGACAGCCATGCGGTTCCTCTCTCTGGCTCCCCTGACGGTCCCTTCCTTCTCGATCTTCCTCTCCTGACTGAGCCGGGTCTTCAGTGCTAATTCCATCTGGATCATCTCCTGGGATCTCGTCGCGATGGGGGGGTGGAGTAGGAGCTCCTTCCTTCCCTGTTACCTGCATGTGAGCTCCCACCGATCTGATCTCTGTCCTAATGACGCGCAGTTCGTTCATCACTCCTACCTGAGCTGCCTCGACAGCCGTCCTCAGTCTCTCCAAATCAGTGTCAAGCTTCTCAAGGGTTGTCTCCTGACCCCTCTCAGCCGACATGCCTTCGTTGGACCCTGCTCCCTTGCTTTCCTCTGTTCGGGTGCCTCTGAATTCTGTCCTGAGGCCTTCAATTTGGTGAATGAACCATTGTTTCATTTTATTCTCCCTTTCCTCCAGATAAACCCTCAGGGGTACTCCTCCTAGGATGGCCTCTTCCAGATCGGCTTGCGTGTGCTGAAACCTCACACCTGTCAACGTCAGTACGTCCCTTGCTGCCGAGTCACCGATAACTCCAATGTCTAGTAGATCGCATGATTTCTCTGGCGATTTGCTGGAGTCGGCTGCTTCTATCGGATCGCTATTGGTGCCCCCCCCTGTCACAGAAGTTCTGACATCCTTACCTTTCTTTCTGGAGCCATCCACTCCAACACTGCTCAAATATCCACAATCCTCGTCCTCTGGTGGTCCCAGGATGTCCGCGAGCTTGGCGGTTTCTCCCTGCTCCCTCCCGGCCTGCTTTTGGATTGACCTGTTCTCGGCGGCACTTATCACCGGCTCCACCACCGTCTGTGTTTCCGGGTTAATCGGAGTGAGCACGATCAAGTCCCTAACGACTGGGTCGTCCACCATCTCACTGCTCTCCTCTTCACTTTTCCGGGATTTCCCGCCACCTCCCCGCTGGCCTGGGGGTGTTCTGGGGATTCTATTGCTTGTGGTGAGTGCCGTTTTACCAGCCTTCTCATCGATGCCCTTGCTCCTGAGGAAATAATCCGAAATCTTTATTTGATTTTTCTCCTCTTTCCTTTTACGTCCTCTCTTCTTCTTCGCAGTGTCGTGCCCATCCTCGGGGCCCGTGTCGTCATCTGCCGGGTCGGTATACTCGGCATCCTGCAATATCAACTGAAGCTGTTCGGCGTCCACCTCACCTCCGCTTTTTTTCCGCCGAATAGCCCCTTCTCCTTCTCCCTCTCTATCCTCGTCACCCATCTCGCAGCTAATGCTTAACCTCCTAACTTGCCGTTGTGAAGCGTTCGTCCTCCAGTGCTTTGCAGTTCCTCCTTCGGCTCGAACCTTATTACTCCCCTTGATCAGCGAAATGCGACGAGTACTTCGATTATAAATTTATTAATATAAACCGCGATGAAACCCGCAGATTCTACAAAAAACTACGAGCCTACAATCCGCACTACTTGTTAGTGCGACCGCGGCGCCCCCTCCTAGTGATTGTTGCTAATAAATTAGCAATTTCCTTGCGAATGGATTCTCTTTTTTAAAATTCCCATTTCATAATTCTCTTCTTCAATTAAAATGTCATAAAAATTTGTGGTCATCATTTAGTTCCGTCAAATGTCAAATAATCAATTGAAATTCCAGAATGACAGCCCAAGGAATGCAGCTGCAGAGCACGATCCCCTACGTCCAATCCACGAATGTCCGCAGGTCAGACGCAGCCAGTGGCGCCAGTAATCAAGCCCACAGCAACGCAAATCAGGACGAGGAGAATGACGATAACCATGGAGGCGACCAAGACGGGGTCGATGCAGGCGTCAACCCTGTGAATAACAACGTTGGGGAGAATCGAGAACCCGGTCTCAATCGAGATTGGCTCGATGTCTTTGACGTCGTTGCTCGTGTCGTCGTTCTGTCCAGTATTATTTACTTTTATTCATCTCCCACGAGGTTTCTTGTGGTCACGTTCCTCGGATTCGCCATTTATCTGTACGTATTCTCATTCTATTTATTTACACATTCTTTGATTAAATTCATTGATAATTAAATTTCCATTCACTTATTCACATTAAATTACGTATAAATTCGAAGTAAAATAGTGCAAATTATTTTTTTGTCATTAAAAATGCTCATTTTCAAACTTTGATTCTACTTTCAATTTTTTTCTTCTTTTTCAAAATAAACGGAATGATAAAATTGTGAATTTCTTCTCACATACTGAGTCTCCTGAAGTTTAAATAATAAATTTTACATAATTTCTTCATAAAAAAAATTATAAGAAACATTTCTATTTAATTTCACATTCTGAACCCTCATTTTTTTCCATTTGTCCTCCCCCCGGGCTTTTCTGAATTAATTTCCATGCTTTATAGAATCCAGGGTGGATTCTTCAGAGGCCAGCCAATATTTCCAAACGATAATGGTCGAGCAGAGAACGATAACAACGCTGACAACGAAGGTGCTCAGCCAGCAGACTCGATACATCAAAGAAATCAGCCCTCAGCTGCTGAAACCCCACCCCAGGAACTGAGGGCGACGAATCCCAATGAAGACAATGGAAGGCCTGGCGCCTGGGCATTCACGTGGACCTTCTTCAGTTCGTTCTTCGCGTCCCTCATACCTGAACAGCCACCCCCCGTTCTTTAAATCAATCCAGTACCAAAACTAGTTTTTTTCTGCGAATTTATCCTTTTACGATCAGAAGTTTTCCTTCACGCGTACAATAAGTAAATTGACGGCATGTAGAGGGGCTGTGGATACAGGAAGGAGGCGACACTTCGTTAAAATACTCTTGAATAAAACACATTCAAGTTGTCCCTTGTAATTAGTTAAATTCCTGAGCAAGTGTTTCAATTTATTTTCGTCTATTTGTGGTTATCGATGGAAGAAGATATTCAGAGGAAAGTGTTTTCTCTCTTGTGATATAAGTAAATCATTCATTAATGTTGATTGATTTTTATTGCATTGAAAATAAAGTGTATTCCAAAGATTTATATATGTTCGTGGATAATTATTGATTGTTTCATTCGATTTCTGCGATTCATTTGATTCGTACGAACATTTTCACGAGACATCTGACGCAATTGATTAATGAGGAAATATAATTCAATTCAATGACAATATGAAATCGTAAATGATGTCCAGTAGAAGAAAATGATTGATTAATAGTTAAATGAATCAATAATTGAGTGATTAATTAATTGATTAATTAATTCACCAATTAATATGAAGAAAATCCAACTTTCCGCTTTTAACTGTAACGGAAATTCGCTATTCAGATGTCTAGAATATCAATTGTTTAAGTTTACTTGAGGCTGTCGATAGCTGGCAGATGAGCCCATGGGAAATAAAACTCACCGAAGCAGTAATGATCACTCGGTAATGAAGCAAGTGTGGTCGGGTATCGATAAAAATCCTCAGTATCACGCCAATTTATTTTTCATAAGGTAACATGAGCCGCACAAACCTCCTCCAGTCACCAGCAACATTTTCTTTCAAATAAATTTATATTTCTGAACATTAGCTTCTGCAAAACACATGCTCAATACTCAAAATACTTCACCACCGATGTGAACGCTCCACTGTCGGTGGACGCTCGAACGAGCGCCAAATTCCGGCTGATCATCGAGGCTCTGGGATATTTACTACTTGATTCCTACAAAAAACCCGATCAGTTGGACTACATCACTGGATACATTGCGATGGTCCACAAGGACATGGAGTTGAACCGTTCGGATATGTTTGTAATTTCTTTATTCATTTTTACAGATTTTTTTCATGAAAAATACATTGCAAAATAGTTGGTTTGAATGGAGACAGCATTCCGCGTGGGAAAAAAATTCACAGAAAAACCCAGCGAATTCGCTGGACAATTCTATCGACGAAGTCAATGGAATTCGATTTTTCTGAACAAGTTATTCTATTGAGATGTTTTCTACGAAATTTCCAAGTTCAATACAATTTACTTATTTATTTATTTTTGTTTTTATTTTTTAGTAATTCTGATTTTATAAAGTTTTTTGTTGAATTTTCTTGATGAAGAAAAAGGAAAAATGGGACGAAAAAAAGTTGAACTGCTTGAGCTGAGGAATCTCTAGAATATTTTCTGTTGATCAGTTCAATAGAATTGTCTAGCGAATTCGTTAGATTTTTCTATTAAGGATATCCAAGTACTTTTACTATTTTTTCTCCAGTGAAATACTTTTCTACTTTTGCAGTCGAACATCGGAGCTTTCATTTGAGCCACATTTGACCCTGAGTTTCCGAGCATTTTACAATGGTTTTATTATTTAAACTTTGCAGGTCTGAATTCGAATTTCGATATTGAGCTGTTAGAAACCATTTTAAAAATCTGAGAAAAAATAGAAAGTTTAATAAAAGGTGAAATCTAAAGTGCAAAAGATACTTGAATATCCTTAACCCTAGATTGGCCGCCATCATATGAAGGAAACCCCGCCATGCGTCGTTTTTCATTAATTACAATTGACTGGCTAACCGGAAAAATTAAAAAAAAATTGACTCTATTAAGGGGAGACGGAACCCCTTAGTCTACATCACATCTTAGAATTGTGTTTTCTCCTACAATTATTAATTTCTATCAATAAAATTACTATCGACTCGACTATCGCATTGTTGAGTCAATGTCGTAGTTTAATGACTAAAAAATAATAATTGCTGGAGAAAAAAATTCTAAAGATTCATATAAACGCAGGGGTTCCGTTTCCCCTTAACGGAAGTGTCTGAAGAATTATACAAATTTTTAGAATAACATATTTCCCGAAATTTCCGAAGAAAACAAATAATTTCGACCAGATGAATTACTGTTTCCTATGTTAAACGGAATTGCCCATCACGCGACGTTGCCAAAAACGCGGTAAACGCGCCCGCTCAGTGTAGAGTGAATTCGGCAACGCCAGAGCCTAGATACACGGCGGGGAATCCCCGCGGAGGTGACCAGAGTCGCCGCCTCGCGCCCGGTGACCAATCTAGAGTTAAATTTTATTCCCGCGTGTCTCACTGTTCGTGAACTCTCCGGATTTTCAAGAATTTCGGAGAAAGCCTGATTGATTACTTGACGGTGACATTCCCCCGATCAATGACTCCGGACTGTCGAGCCATTGTTTCCGGCCACATTCACAATCTCCTGAACGAAATATCCCGGAAAATGGAGGATTTGAGGGAGAGTGACGTCATTGGGACGGATGTTGGCAGGAAAAATGAGAAGGTAACTTCGCAGTTGGGAATTTACGAGGAATTTTTCTCCAATAAAAAATTCCGATCTCGATCCATTCGCCCTCAGAAATCTACTAAAGGAAGATTGCGCCGTAGATCGGCTTCGATCTACGGCCACACGGTGGACTATTGGATAGAGAGGAAGCGCGAATGGGATGAGCGGCTGGAGTCCTGGAGGCGCCAAACCGATGCGATGAGTAAGGAAACTGGAGGCTCTTCACCGGAAGAGGAGCCCAGGGTGACGATCGGGCCGGTCACCGTGGCGTCCGTCGGCTCTCATGCCGATCAATTTCTCAAGTCTTACGGGGTTATAGGGGAGGTAAGGCAGGCGGCATCAATTCACAAAATTTCACAGAAAAACCTGGGGAAATCGGTAGAAAATTCTGTTGAAGAATCCACACTTTTTTCTGCAGGAAATTTCCGATAGAAACTATTTTGTAAAATCAGTGGAATTTCGTCTTTCTATAGAACTTTTTTAGAGGAATTCTTCGACGTGAATTTTCTAAGGTTTTCCCACTATTTTTATTACGATCTCATTAAAGAAACTGAACAGAAAAAAATTGGGAAATTTGAGCCGAGAAATTTCTATAGAAAATATTTCAATAGAACAAATTGTGTCGAAAAATTGAATTCTATAAATATTTTCCGTCGAACGTTTCTATGGAAAAGGCGCAGATAAGCTGCGGAATTTGCCGATAGAATCGGCCAAAAACGAATAGAAACTTCAGTGGAAATCCAATAGGATTGTCTATCGAATTCACCAGATTTTTCTATGAAATTTTTTCATGCGTGACGTGTTCACGTGTTTTTGGACAGTCCCATGACTCCAGACGCCGACGCCCAACCCTGATGACCAAGAGATCGGGCGAGATGCAGTACAAAGTCGTCGAGACAATGATCGATGCCCTCAATAAATCCAATAGGGAGAGGAATTCCATCACCACTGACTCCATAGCTAGACAGAGACGTCGTCAGAGGCACTCAGACTCTTCCTAAATGGGCCTGCTGGTCTTCAGGTACGTGTAGTTTATCTTATCCGTAAAGTTATTTTATCCTTCATCCGGGTCATTTCCGGGAATCTAGTTTTCCAGTGTCTCGGGATCTGCCTCCGCGCGAAGGTTTTATCAAACTCACATTGTTGTCACTCGCTACTCTTCGTAATTTATTGTCCCTAGAACGTGAAGAATACTAAAGTAGGTGAAGAATATTTATAAAAAATATTTAAAATAAACTAAAAATATTAATTAATATCAATTAATATTTAATATTTTTATATTGATTTTTTTATTTAATTTCTTTTTTAGAATATTTGGTGTATTTTATGCACTGAGCTCGTTATCAGAAGATCGCAGAAGAATCAGTTTTTATTCAAGTAGATTAGACCAAATGGTCTGAGTCAGTTTCGCATCTTTGTTGCCATTCGGAAATGAATAATTTATTTTGAAAATTTGCCACATCAAAACGCTTTCAGATCTATAAAATCGTTTCAAGATAGGTTTATTTAAAATGATTTTATGTTCCTCTTTCCTGTTCCTCTCTACATTCAGGCCTGGATCTGTGTTCACTTGCGAAACTTTCCTCTCAAGTTTAACGTTATTTAGTTAAATAATGAGAATATTAACACTTTTTCTCGAAAATAATTTCCTTCAATGCATTTTGTTTATTTTCCCTCACTAATAGCGAATTTGAATGATTTTTTTCGCATCTCTGTTGCCATTCGGAAATGAATAATTTATTTTGAAAATTTGCCACATCAAAACGCTTTCAGATCTATAAAATCGTTTCAAGATAGGTTTATTTTAAATGATTTTATGTTCCTCTTTCCTGTTCCTCTCTACATTCAGGCCTGGATCAATGTTCACTTGCGGAACTTTCCTCTCAAGTTTAACGTTATTTATTTAAATAATGAAAATATTAACACTTTTTCTCGAAAATAATTTCCTTCAATGCATTTTGTTTATTTTCCCTCACTAATAGCGAATTTGCATGATTTTTTCGCATCTTTGTTGCCATTCGGAAATGAATAATTTATTTTGAAAATTTGCCACATCAAAACGCTTTCAGATCTATAAAATCGTTTCAAGATAGGTTTATTTTAAATGATTTTATGTTCCTCTTTCCTGTTCCTCTCTACATTCAGGCCTGGATCAATGTTCACTTGCGGAACTTTCCTCTCAAGAGCCTCAATTTTTCACATCCCCAGAAGAATTAAAACCAAATATTTCTGCGAATAATGAAAGAACGCCTGAACGGAAGAATGAAAAGAAAGTTTTCATGCATGACCATCCTCGAATAAACCCAAGAAATTACCTTGTTCTCGCCGCGGCCGAAGAGATCGGCGGAAATTTGAACAGAGACGGTGAATCGAGAGGTCTAACAATGGGTCCCATGACGCTCTCGATTTCCCTGGGTTCTGGAATCGGCGGTAGTGGTGACTCCCAATCAGAGTCCGTCGAGCTACTGGCCATCCTGCTGTCGTCCAAGACCTCGACATTCCGTGAAATCGGAGGTAATCGGTTATTGAAGAGCATCGACGAGACAGACAAATCCACGAGATTGCTGTCGTTGTAGGCAGCTGCGTGAATCTCCTGTTGATACATGACGTAGAGCCCCTGGAGATCTGTCGGCAGCTCGAGTTTGCCGTCCTCCATGATCCTCCGCTGTCTCGTGATTATCTCGTCCGATATCTGCCTCTGTCTGTCGTACCTCAACAGCAATAATTCTCTTCTTCTCAATTCGTGCTGTTTCACCAGCCTCTCACTCTGCAGCATCATCTTGTCGGCTTCCAACTCATGCACTCGGAGCATCAGCGCTAACAGCTCTCGCTCCTGGTCTGAATTTATTTGGGAGGGCAGCTCGTCCTCTAGATTTGCACTTCGCTGCCTGCAGGCTTCCAACTCTCGCTCTGTCAAGGCTCGCAGCTCTGAGTATCGCTCTTGCTCTTTGTTGATTTCTGATAGCTCGTTCCAGGCTTGTTGGACGGTTAGGTCGTCTATCTCGGCTTCTTCGGTTGAGTCTGAGGGAATGGAGAGGGAGAAGCATGAGCAAGAGGATTGTCTTGCACGAAAATTTAGATAGTCTGAGTTAGTTTGAGTCAGCCGGGGCTGATTTGAGCTGTTGGAGTTCAGAATCACGTGCGAGACTTCTGCTCATTCAGAATGACTCTTGCTCAATCTCCCACTCAACTTTTCATTCATTTTATCTACTCGTTTTACCTCTGAGTTTGAGCTAGTCAGACACTTTTGACTCAAGTTTCAACTACTGTTATTTTACTCTAATTCACCAAGTCTATTCGTCTTCTACTTCGGTACAAAAGAGATAAAACGATGTGATTGTAGGGCAACTTAGTTACCAGCCAAGTTCGTGAGGAGTGTCGCGCAGACTTTTCTCACAGCTCACAGTAACAAGGCTCTTATTTAAAAATTTACTAACACTCTGAAATCAAAAATATAAAACCACTAGACTTACCTTCATTGTCGACCTCCTCGACTTGACTGTCTGCACTAGATCGTCTTCTCGTTGAGTCTTTACTCGCTCTGTAGAGTTTATTGTTCCGGGATTCCCAGTGGGCGATTATTGCGTGCTGCTGCTCGCCCGCGATATTCAAACCCAGTAGGTGGCTATCCAGTTCCATCAATTTACGTCTGCCAGAAGTCAATAGAATGAATCATAAACAGCGCAAAATACCGTTCTATTAGCAAAATTTACTGGTTACATTAATTGAATGAATGAATGACTATTTTCATCTGCGATTTTACCTCAATCTCATCTGCTCCTTGAAGACAGAAACAATTTTCTCTCTCAATCTTCTCAAATCGTTGGACTGAACTTCTGTAATCGGCTCGTCGATGTTGGATCGCGGTCGATCCGAGTCATGCATTTTCGTCCTGAGCCTGGAGATCTCGTTCTTCAGATCACTTATGATGTCCCGGTACTGAGACACGTGGTAATTAACATCGACAATGTTCCTCTCGACTTTGTTCGTGATTCTGTTGGCTCGATCGGCGTACATGAGGGTGTTCTTGCTCTCGTCCCGGTGGGCGGCGACGGGGGAGACGTGAGCAATCATAACCGTCCGACTGTTTCCTCCCAGGGCGTCTTTCAGGAGACGAGTCAGCTTCGAGTCTCGGTAGTTTACGTATCTTGCACCGCAGGAGAGCGCTGTGATGCAGTTCCCCAGGGCCAGGAGGGATCTGTTTATGTGGCCACCTTCTTGCAGTCGTTTTCCTTGGTTCTAGGTCAGATCAATTGGGTTTTGTGATTGATTGAAGTTAATGAGTCAATACAGTAGCGAAGCGGTAAACCGGGCCAAGTTGATCTTGAGTATTGGCCAGTTTTTGACGAATATCTCGGAATCTAAGAGAGATAGCAAAATTTTTGTCATGACCTTTTTTGTAGAGCTGATTAAGAGCTGCAACAAATGTCATTACGAAAATTTCGCTATCTCCCTTAGGTTCGGAGATATTCCTCAAAAACTCAACTTGGAGATCAGTCGACTTAAAGTAGCTCTACCCTTCGGCCGGGCTGTGCTGTATTTTTGGATATTTTCAGTTTTCAAATTTTTGAAATAAATTGCATGGAAAAAATTTGAAAAAATTCATACCCAGTCAGTTTTTGAAACATTTCCCTCTTATAAATAAATAATAAAATTAGTTTGCAAAACGGTGGATTATTTTTTATGAGGTGTCAAAAAAATTCTTGATTTTTTCACATCTAATGAAAAAAAATCAAATTTTAATTACAATGGAAATGTTGATTTTCACATAATACACTAGGTTAAATCCTGATTTTTAAACATTTCATCTTTGAAAAACCAAAACGATAATTAAATTGAGAAAAAAATTAGAATTCCGAATCTAATCGAGTTGTCTGCAATTTTTTTGTTTTCAATAATCTTTGAATTTACCAAGAGGGTAGAGCTACTTTAAATTGCTTTACCACTTCGCTACTGATGTGCAAGTTGTCATGATCATCAGCTGAAAAAGTCATACTTTCGTTTGCTTAGCCCTTTCCGACCCGGCGAGATCAATCATAAAGAGTTTTCCCTGTTTGACCCTCGTCCGGTGTCCAATCTCCCTCCCTGACTTGGGTTTGGTCGTTTGCTTGACCAAAACACTGAGTAATGCGTGACTCCTCGATGACGTCTCGTTGGCCGCCGTCGGCTCGACGGTTCTCGCGGTGTTCCCCCGGTGCAACAACTTCATCACCTTCAATCAACAAATTGAACCTGTTACTCGGGGGAAAAGTGTTTGGGATTGTTTGAGGGAAGGGAGGCAGGAGCAACTTATTACTTCCTCCGTGGAATTCGTTGATATCTCCGTGAGACCCGCGACCTGAACATTACGACCCCTAGACTCGTCACGCAACTCCAAGTAACCGGTACTGGGATTCAACAGGTCGCGTATGTTCTCGTTGTATATTTCGAGATATGACATTGTTACCTGGAACAGGGGAATCGGGGTTTAGGGTTCAATAGGAGGAGCATTACTCGAGTGTTAAAGCGTATGAAAAAATTCAATAGAAATTCTAGCGAATTCGCTAGAAAATTCTATTGGAATTCTATGGGGTTTCTACAGGATTTCTATTGGAATTCTATTGGAAAATTCCATTTGTTTGATTCTATTGCATATTCGATAGGAAAAAGTCAATAGATTTCGAATTTCTACTTAAATTTTTCTCTTGAGATTTTTTCTACAATGCTCAGGCATCAATTTTCTACAATGCAAAACAAAACAAAATCCAGCGGAAAAAACTTGGAAAATGTTGTGCTCAATAATTTTAATAGAAAAAATTTAAGAGGAAAATTCAAACGGAAATTCGAAATCTATCGACTTTTTCTTATTGAATATCCAATAGAATTTTTCAATAGAATTCCAATAGAAATCCTATAGAAATTTTCCTGTGCACCTTCTTTACTCTATTTTTTAGAAAATATTTTTAATATCAGGAAATATCAATATTTTTCTATAGAAAATATTTCAATAGAATATAATGGGGCTATACTTCTGATTCTATTTTAAAAAATCGGCAGCTTTTCTCGGTTTATGCTACAACAGAATCAATTTCATAGGACAAATGAATTGAATTTGAGTTTTGTGTAGAAAATATATCAATAGGACAAGTTTTATACAAAAATCTAATTCCATCTATTTCCTCTATAAATTTTCCACTGAACATTTCTGTAAAAAAAACGCATCGAAAAATTGCGATTTTTTTCAATAAAAATTCTATAGAAATCCCATAGAATTCAATATTAAAATTCAATATTTTCAATATTTTTATTACAATTCAATATTTTTTAAATTTATTTCGAAAACAACTAGTTTCAATAAAAATGTAAAAAAAATCGTTCATTTTGGATGAAATTTTCCACAAATGCCATCTCCTGGCACCGAAACAACTCACGAATTTGTTTATTCACGAGTTATTTAAACGAGATAATTAAAAATTGAAAAAAAAAACGTCAATTACTTGAACATCGACGTTATCCGGGGCTTGTCGACTAGCCAGGAAGATGTCATTGAGCGCTCGGACCATGACCCCAGGCTCCGCGGAACTCCCCACCATCGTGTGGGTTTTGCCAGCACCAGTAGCCCCATACGCGAAGACTGTGGCATTGAAACCGTCGATGATGTCCTGGACCAGGGGTTTTGTCGTGCCCTCGTAGACGTCCGCCTGTGTGGAGCCTTCCCCGAGGACCACATCGTACAGATACTGGCGCGGGGAACTTCGCTTGAGCTTATCTACCTCCAGGTCATCCAACATTACCATCTGGAGTGGACAACACATGATCATCCTCACAATCATTACGTCAATTAATTTATTCAGCTATTTTTTCGAGTTCTACACACGGACAACGAAATCTAATAGAAAAATCTAAGGCGTTCGCTAGGAAATTCTATTGAAGTTCTTTTAATTTGTCATTGGCTCTGTCAAAAAGTTCCGCAATTTTTATGTGCTTTAAAAAAAAAAATTTAGTAGAAAACAGTTTTTAGAAATTTCCGGAAAATTTCGAAATTTCGAAAGAAATTATTTTTTTAGTAGAAAAACTGGGAAACATTATGAACTCGTCGAGTTCTCATAGAGAACTCGTCGTTTTTCTCTCAGTGTATATAACAGGCAGTCGCGCACTCGTTCTTGGCGACGGGACCCAACTGCGTCCCTTGATCCATTCATCTTTTAAATAACGTGTGCTAAAAACTAATGGTTATCCACTAGAATTTCCCAGGGTTTTCCACTGAATTTCATTTGACGTGCGAAGAATTAATCAATCTCGTGTCCATTATCGTCACCTTATTATTAACAGCATGGATAACCCGAGGGCCGGACTCGCCATCGCCCAGTGGTCTGATCCTCACCGCCACCTGATCACGAGCCAGAAAAGAAAAAAATATTCATGAGAGTGTGGCAAAAATCGATGAACCTCCTGGTGACCTGCAAACCCCCAGCGGTAATTTGTGTGCAAACTGAGCGGTCAGACGTCCGTCCGGCACAACGACCCAATATCGATCAATTCTTTGCAGGTATCCCACCCCTCCGCCTCACTTCGCCACTCGCTGATACATCTCAACGAGCCTCGTGCACGCAACTCAATTCATTTGTTATTATTTCATAAATTATTCACAGTGACAAATTTTGCCTGCCATCCCTCACTCTTATTGACAATGAATTCGCCGCGGAATTCAGGCGTGAAAAAGTTTAACCGCGAAATATAGCGCCTTCTTCAAGAAATTTTACGTATTTTATTTTATTTTATTTGAATTTTTACTGAATTTCTAGTAGAACTCCGAGAATTCCATTCAAGTTCTGGGAGAATTCTATTGAAAAATTCTATTTGTTTTTTTTGCACCCGTTCTATGAAAGATTATGAAAATTTAAGAAACATTTGAGAGAAAAAAGTCTAGATTTTTAGTTTTTTATAGAAATTCTTGAGTGTAAATTTTTCAATAATTTGTAACACTTGCCATTTTATACTTTTTGTACGTAAAATGATGGGAATTTTATTTATTTTAATCGAAGCGATTACCATGTGAAGATTTGAACTCTGTCATTGGCCACGACTGTGGTTTTTTTTATAAATAAATAAATAATAAAATAGAAGAAAGAAAACTTGAAGAAATTATGAAAGAATTTTTATAGGAAAAATCTGAATAGAATAATTTATACAGAAAAATTCACATCTATAAATATTTTTCTATAGACAAATATTTGTTTGAAAATGCGGGGAAGTCGCATAATTTTTAAAAGAGGTGCCGTAAAGAATAAATAGACTTTTTGTTAGAATTCTTATGGAATTCGAATCGAAATTTAGTAGAATTAATTTTTTTAATCCGTTATATTCTGGAATTATCGAATGTTCTAGTGAACAATTCCGTTGATATCGATGAGAAAATCCTCTTCAATTTCATCTTTCTACCGGAATTCAACACAAATTTTCCAAGTTATTTTCGCTGTATTCTTCTCCCCTTTTCATTGAAAAAATCAACCGAAAACCTTCGAAAATTTGAGCGGAAGAATTTCTATAGAAAACAGTTCAACAGAATAAGTTGCGTAGAAAAATCGGATTCCATTATTTTTTCTTCAATATTTTCAATTGAACATTTTAAAAATCGTCTAGCGGTGGAGTAAAATCTGCTCCCGATGGAACTTTATTCTGACGATTTAAATCGCCCTCATGTGGGAAGTATTCAACTCTCGAACCGTTGACGTTAAGTTTTTAATGAATATCTCGGAATCTAAGAGAGATACTAACATTTTGCTTATGAACTTTTTCCTAGCCCTCAGTTCGCTCTACAAAAAAGGTCATAACAAAAATTTGGCTATCTCCCCTAGATTCCGAGATATTTGTCAAAAACTGGGCAATACTCAAAATGGGAAGTATTTAGATCTCGAACCGTTGACGTTAAGTTTTCAATGAATATCTCGGAATCTAAGGGAGATACTAAAATTTTGCTCATGACCTTTATCCTAGCCCTCAGTTGGCTCTACAAAAAAGGTCATAACAAAAATTTGGCTATCTCCCTTAGATTCCGAGATATTCGTCAAAAACTGGGCAATACTCAAAATGGGAAATATTTAGATCTCGAACCGTTGACGTTAAGTTTTCAATGAATATCTCGGAATCTAAGGGAGATACTAAAATTTTGCTCATGACCTTTTTCCTAGCCCTCAGTTGGCTCTACAAAAAAGGTCATAACAAAAATTTGGCTATCTCCCTTAGATTCCGAGATATTCGCCAAAAACTGGGCAATACTCAAAATCGACTCGGCCCGATTTACCGCTGCGCTCCTCAATTTTACCGTAAGTTTTTCCTCGATAGCCCGACTGGACCGGTCCTTCGGAACTCTCCGGCAACTGCCGCTGGAGCTAGTTGTGCTGCCACTCGCGCTGCTGCACTGCGTCATGTTCACACTAATGCGCCAAGCACTTCAACCCGAGCCCGTCATGTATTCCCAAAAAAACCGCACAAATTTCCCAAAAAAAACTCAGTCGCGAGCGGAGAATTTCGGGGAATTCCCTCCGCGGTGTTGGAACCCCTCGAGCATCGCAATCAGCTCGATGCGACTCGATCGCCTGCCGATCCACGCACGACTGCCCTGATGAGGTCTCCAGGAGTCCTCCAGAGCGTCCTGTCGTCCACCCGCCCACCGTCAACGGCGCAAGTCCCCCAGAGGCACGCGTCCCTTTTCGATTTCACCCCTATGCCCGCGCTTTTCCGACGTAAACATCACTCTTGCCATTATCGTCAGCGTAATGAGCCCCATACCCACTCATTTCCAATTATCAATGTCAAATTTCGCCCGGGGACGTCCCGTTACCTCGATTAATGCTAAAATATGAGACGTTTATCTTCGGGCACTGCAACTTCCTGCCGACAAAGTGGCGCTTTTATTTCCAGCTGGAGGTTCTCGTAATTCGATTCGTTAATTTTTCAGCAATGCCAGTTAGCGATGGCTACTTACCGAGCTCATCGGAGGAGTGGTGAATAAATTGCGGACGGAACAGAAGAACTACATCAAAGTGGCGGGTCGATAGGGCCATTCTGGCGGGCATTTGAAGCTAATGATATTCTTATGGTTTCCGCAAATAAATTCGAACGCGGAGACGAACGGCGCGAGGCGAGTCAAGGGTAGTGAGCAGCTTTTAAAGGTCTCGGAAGGTGAAAGCAGTTTTTTGAAGGATTTTTTGGCGCAGAGGAAAAATAGAGAATTTGATTTTGAGAATTTGAGAATTTTTTTTAGAGAATTTGATTTAGAAAAAAATCTGAATCGAATAAGTTGTATTGAAAGATCTGATTCTATTGAATTTTTCTTTCCGTAATTTATTTGAATTTTAGATCTAATATGAATATTCAGTGTCAAATTGTAGTGAATTTTCAGTGAAATCGGAGATCTCATGATTTTTTCACCTCTAATTCGAATTCAGTGTCACTGAATTCGAATCTGAAAATTGAAGAATATATTTACCAGAATTTTCTGGTTTTCTATTCATTTTCAGGGAAAAATGGAACGGAAATTTGGAGTTCTGTTTGATTTTTCCACGAAATTCTGAATTTTCAATGACAAGATTTCCTGAAATTTCAGTGGGATTAGAACATGATAAAAATTTCCGGAATTTAATATCAAGTTTTTCGAAGGAAAATCTAATGACACAATTGGCCGAATAGATTGGCTTCAAAAAACGTTACACTCGATTTTTTATTAAAGGAAATATTTCGTTTTAAACAAAAAATAGAGAATTTGATTTAGAGAATTTGATAATTTTTTTTAGAGAATTTGATTTAGAAAAAAATCTGAATCGAATAAGTTGTATTGAAAGATCTGATTCTATTGACTTTTTCTTTCCGTAATTTATTTGAATTTTAGATCTAATATGAATATTCAGTGTCAAATTGTATTGAATTTTCAGTGAAATCGGAGATTTCATGATTTTTTCACCTCTAATTCGAATTCAGTGTCACTGAATTCGAATCTGAAAATTGAAGAATATATTTACCAGAATTTTCTGGTTTTCTATTCATTTTCGGGGAAAAATGGAACGGAAATTTGGAGTTCTGTTTGATTTTTCCACGAAATTCTGAATTTTCAATGACAAGATTTCCTGAAATTTCAGTGGGATTAGAACATGATAAAAATTTCCGGAATTTAATATCAAGTTTTTCGAAGGAAAATCTAATGACACAATTGGCCGAATAGATTGGCTTCAAAAAACGTTACACTCGATTTTTTATTAAAGGAAATATTTCGTTTTAAACAAAAAATAGAGAATTTGATTTAGAGAATTTGATAATTTTTTTTAGAGAATTTGATTTAGAAAAAAATCTGAATGGAATAAGTTGTATTGAAAGATCTGATTCTATTGACTTGTTCTTTCCGTAATTTATTTGAATTTTAGATCTAATATGAATATTCAGTGTCAAATTGTATTGAATTTTCAGTGAAATCGGAGATTTCATGATTTTTTCACCTCTAATTCGAATTCAGTGTCACTGAATTCGAATCTGAAAATTGAAGAATATATTTACCAGAATTTTCTGGTTTTCTATTCATTTTCGGGGAAAAATGGAACGGAAATTTGGAGTTCTGTTTGATTTTTCCACGAAATTCTGAATTTTCAATGACAAGATTTCCTGAAATTTCAGTGGGATTAGAACATGATAAAAATTTCCGGAATTTAATATCAAGTTTTTCGAAGGAAAATCTAATGACACAATTAGCCGAATAGATTGGCTTCAAAAAACGTTACACTCGATTTTTTATTAAAGGAAATATTTCGTTTTAAACAGCTGGAGAAGTTATCGCGAGGAAAAAAATTCGTAGAAAAACCTAGTGAATTCGCTCGACAATTCTACCGGATTTCTATTCACCTTTTCATTTAATCAAAATCTGTTAGAACAACAGATTTGTTCAACCGGGAACCAAAGATGAAATCACAATACTTCTGAAAACAGAGAGCACCTTTAGGCTTCGATTAAAAAATAAAAAAGTCGGGAACAAGAATTATTCGTCTCAATTAAAAAAAAATATCGAGCTGCCATTGAAGATTGAAATTCTCTGTCCCTGGCCACCTCAACAAGTCCTGACCCTCATTTACATTAATGAAATCATTGACATTGACGACAGCCCTACTCCAACGAGACTCACTCTCGGATAATTATAAATTCCCCTGTCGATATCACAGCGCGATGAATTGAGGGCGGCTATAGCGTCACCAGTGCAACCCTCGCGAATAGAAAATTTCTTCTCTAGTCATCCTTGCTCTCCATTTCGTCGACACGAATTCGTAATTGGGTGTAGGCCAATGGAATACAGAAACCCACCCATTACGTGCGTGCTCTCCCGTACAATGGAGATGCTAATCTCAGTTCTGTAATCTTCCGGGTACATTTAAACGGGGGGTGGTATATTTTACCCCTTGTTTCAATGGCCAGCCTGAGTGGCCCCAAAAATACACTGAGGTGAGTCCTTTTATCGGGAAGTGACGAAGGTCGTCACCTTCGGGGGACTCGAGAAATTTTCGTGACTCACGCAACCTGTACAGGGTGTTATTACACGGGGGAGGATAGATTAGCTGAGGTTTTCTCAAATGTGCGTCAGGCAAAAATCCAGTCGTAGAGTCCGGAAAATGAGGTGAAGTCCGGCACTTTCTTCATTTTTTTCGCGTGTTTTTTCAGTAAAAAAAAGGCATGACCAAAATTTATTAGGAAAACCTAGCGAATTTCTCAGGCATTTCTATTGGATTTCTATTCGTTTCTGTTAGTTTTTGTTCGAAATATGAAATTCTATTTTTCTATACAACTTATTCTATTGAGATGTTGGCGTAGAATTTCATCGGATCAAATTTTCCAAATTTTTTTGGTTGATTTTCTTTATGAAAAGAAAATACTATTATTATTATTATTATTATTATTAATTTATTTATTTGTTTATTTATTTATTGCTTATCAGGAGACAAACTCCCTCACAAATTTGTACATGAAAAATAGAATTTAAAAAAACTAGAAAATTTGAGCCGAGGAAATTCTATGGAAAAATCGAATTTTATGGACTTTTTCTATTAAATATTTCAATAGACTTGTTTAGCGAATTGTATAGTGAATTGTGAAAAGCAGCTATAATATATAGAGACAAAAGCAATTTCCCCTTGTTTTCTGTCCTAATTGAAAAGGGGAAATGACATGATTTAGAAAACGAATTCTCCTGATCAGACACGATTAAAAAAATAAATTCCATTTTTTGACGTCGCGAGGGTGAAGGACCTCTGAGGCTAGTTTTTGAGGAAATACTATATCACGCGGTTTATTTATAGTTGATACTAGAGTTTTTAGAGTCCCCGAGAATGAGTAATTTTCATTCAGACGTCTTTCATTCATGTTTCGTAAAAAATGGACAATTCTTATGCAGTAGTTACGTGGGAGAGAGTAATAAAAAATCGGAGGATCTTTGGTCTGCTCTGGGTTGCATGGCCCCTCAAAGTCGCGCCCTGCTGCGACGTGCGATAAAGTTAAAAATTAAAATTGAAATTAAAAAACTAGGAAAAATGTTTTTCGTTGAAAACTGTCGACGAAAATGTTTGTCGAATAAATGTTCATCTCTGTCGTGCGATTTTTCGACCGATATTCAATTTATAAACAAAATAATTCTAATATTTTTAATTTGTATTAAAATACAAGTTAATAATTCGGTCGAAGTCCTCTCCACAACAGATATTTAATAGGATTAAATTTCTATAATAGATAATGACTAGATTTTGATTTTTCTGCTTCTGTATGAGATATTTTCCAGTGATTTTCTGCCTCAGTTTCGCGGGTTTTTCGATAAATAATGTAAGAACATGTGGGTTAATGAATAATTGCTGGGGAAATTGGTGAAAAATATTTATATCCATATAAAAGACCAGTACAGAATATTAAAAATCAAGAAAGCAGCTGGGAAGACAATTCTGCTCCTCTTGTCGATCCACTGGGCGATTTCCTGTGGAGTCATTGTCGTGAAGTTGTGGAGTTTAGCTAGAGTCGGTCGCCGCACTGGGCCATTTCCTGGTGAAGGTGTAGCGACACTGTCAATCGTCATCACGCTGCTCGACAGCTCCTGAGGCTTCTCCTCGTCGTCTATCCTCACTGAGGGGATGTTTATCGTACTTGGAAAACTCTGCAAATCAGGTGTCAATTTATTTATTCACTTATTTATTTATTTATTTGTTTATTTTATCCCCAACATTCCTCGTTTTTTGCAATAAGAATGTTTAATCGAAAATATTCCATTAAAGAAATCAATTAAATAGTAATAATTAATTGCTTATGAAAGAAATTAATTATTAATTAGGGGAGGATGGGGCAAAACGGCCCCCCTTCAATCGTCAATATTTTCCGATTCAATAATCCGATTGGGATGAGTTAGAGCTCGTTTTGAAGAATGAAAAATTATCTTCAAAATGAAGTTGAAACTGGGAATTTTCACAATGTCATTCACAAGTTATTGACAATTGAAGGGGGGCCGTTTTGCCCCACCCTCCCCTATTATTAATTATTTAATTAATTCAATTTTTCCATGCAATTTCGTCCATTGAGATATTTTCAGTAGAAATTTCTCGGCTCAATTTTTTTTTGGATTTGATTTTTTCCAATGAAAAGATGAAAAAAATGGAGTGAAAAATTTCTCAAAAAAGGTTTTATAGAAAGACGAAATTCTACTGATTTTTCTGTAAAATAGTTTCTATTGGAAATTTTAGATTAAAAACGCGCAGTAAAGCCTCGGACTTGTGCAATAGAATCGGCAAAAACTAATGGAAGTTCAATAGAAATTCAACAGAATTTTCCATCGAATTTCCTGTGAGTTTCACGGAGAGAAAAAATCAATAAAAATTACCCGGAAAAAACGTAAAAATTACGTTTCGAAGCGAAATCCGCGAGCGAAGTAAAATTCAATAAAAAGTGTGAGTCGGAACTGAAATTGTACGAATCGCCACGTAAATTCAACGATTTGTTCCGTAAAAATTAACCAACCGCCTGATGACTCACCGCTGTGAGGACAAGTCGTTCCGTAATTTTTCCCCAACGACTGAGAAATTTTACGGAACGCAACGTAGAAATAACTCACCAGCTTCATAAAAATTGTTGAACGTTCAAGAATTTTTTATTTTCGAGGCACAATAAGTCGCCAAGTTTCTGTAAGATTTGACTCCTCTGGAAAAAATTACGTGACAATTTCGTACTTTGTTGGGTGATGAGCCTGAAAATTCACTGAACGTTTCAGATTTCTTCTCTTCCATTCCTATAAAAATTGCCGGAAAACGACTCCCCATTGCGGATTACGTGAATTGTTCCGTAATTATTACTGAATATTTCCCTCCGTGAATAAAATTTCTTTCTGCGTGAATACTCACATGAACAGTGAGGTAATTCTGACTACTGTAATCGGGCTCGCTGGCGGGTTTGTCCAGAGAGGACCAGGAGCGCGATCGCTCGAGATTCGTCGCATTTTTCTGGAATTGTTTGCGAGCCAGATGAGGCGTCAATGTTGATTTCAGAATGTATTTGCTGTTTACTTTCTTCAATGGCACATTTTTCCTGGGAAATCAATAAAGATTACGAAGAAATGTTGACTGTACATGTCAGCGGAAAAATATTGAATATTCGAACGGAAAAATTGAGGGGAAATGTCCCCTGGCGGGAGCGACGGGAGAGGGACACGATCTGATTATTCGGAATTAGTATTTATTATCGTTGTTTAAACAGATTTTTAGGTCGTTCACGTCATGTTGGGGGTGTCAGCGACGTGAATAATTGAGGGTGATGATATAGACGTCATTCTGAAAATGAATGGAATGGAATGGTGATTCAGAGCACCCCCATAGCGTTGCGGGTAATAATCACCCTCGGTTTTTCAAATTTTCCAGAACAACAGGGATTTTTTTTCAATTTTCCGATCGTCAGATAATGTCCTCAATTTTTTTATCACGCTGGGAGCTTTTTTCAGAAGTTCACTCGATTGCTTTTGAAAATCCGGAAATTTTCTCGATTACTCTCAAAAAGTTTTAAAAAAATAGAAAACGGCAAAAATATAAAATTCAGTAGCGAAGTGGTAAAGCGGTTCAAGTCGACTCATCTCTTAGTTGAGTTTTTGAAGAATATCTCCGAATCCAAAGGAGATAATGGAATTTTCGTAATAACCTTTTTTCTAGAGCAAATTGTCCTCTATAAAAAAGGTTTTAATAAAAAAATTTCTATCTTTCTCAGATTCCGAGATATTCACTAAAAACTGGCCCATATTAAAAATCGATTTAAACCGTTTTACCACTTCGCTACTGAATTGTAAAATCACTGGAGAAAAAATATTCTATTGAACATACTTTCGCCTGTAGATGGTATTGACGAATGCAAATTCGACCATAGCAGCAAAAAGGAAAATAGTGCACCCCAGGAACCAGATTTCACTGGCCTTGATGTAGGAAACTTTGGGCAATGAATTCTCCACTTTAGATGCCAGTGTCATGAATGCTAAAATTGTATTCGTTCCGAGAACAATTCGTGGAGGGCTGGCGTCCATGTGTAGCCAGAATGACACCCACGAAATCACGACAATCAATATCGAGGGGATGTAGTAATCCATAACAAAAAAGCCCATTTCACGGGCGAGCTTGAAGGTGATGCTTATGGAGCTGAAATTGCCGGCTGAAAAATACAGTTCATCAGGGGGTAGATTTTTATTTAGAGGCCAATTGGTGGTTCGGCTTGGCTTGTGATTCTGAATTAGTGGACATTACCGAAATGACCGTAATGCTGTTGCGCAGCTGTGTACGATACCTCAGTCCCATTGACCCATTTCTCGACCAGTCGATATTCGGTTAAATGTAGTTCGTCTGCAACTACCAGTGGCGACTCGTCCCAGTCCAGTTTCATTTCTTGAACACTGTTAGTCCCTGGAGGAGAGGATTCACGTATGGAAAAATTTCTATAGAAAATTTAGCGAATTCACTAGAAAATTCTATTGGAATTTTATGGGATTTCTATTGGAATTCTATTTTTTTGCGCTGATTTTATTGGATATTCGATAAGAAGTCAATACATTTCGAATTTCCATTCAATTTTTTCTCTTGAGATTTTTCCTATAAGAACGCTTGGGCATCAATTTTATACAATGCAGAACAAAAGAAAATGCAGCGGAAAAAACTTGGAAAATTTTGTGCAAAATAATTCTAATAGAAAAAATTTAAGAGGAAAATTGAAACGGAAATGCGAAAACTACTGACTTTTTCTTATTGAACATCCAATAGGATCGGCGCATAAAACAAATGGAATTTTTCAATAGAATTGCAATAGAAATTCTATAGAAACCCATAGAATCACGTTGTTATCGCGAAAAAATTTCGTAGAAAAACCTAGCGAATTCGACTAAAAACTGAATAGAAAAAAATGAATAGAATTTGATTTTTTAATAAAATTTATTCTATTGAGATAATTTCTACAGAAATTACTCGAATCTAATTTTCTAGGTTTTTTTGTTAGATTTTTTTAGTGAGAAGAGGAGAAAAATTGAGTGAGAAAAACTTTGAAAATTCAAGTCGAGGAATTTCTATAGAAAATGTCTCACTAGGAGTTGTATAGAAAAAAGGATTTCTCCTGATTTTTTTATGGAATGGACTCTATTGGACATTTTCGATAAAAAGAAAATTGCTAAAAAAATCTTTGGCATAATGACTTTTATTCCCACGATGATTATCTACTTACAGCTTTCGAACACCAGTGGACACTCCTGAACATCGAACGGAAATTTTTCAAGTCTCAATCCGCAATTCAGAGTAACTTCAAGCCTGAAAGTGAAATCATCATTTGATCCTCAAAATGTAAAACAAAGTCTGTTCTCCGGAAATTAAATTAAGAACATCACTCGGAATTAATGAGTCATCTATAAGAATTAAAAATAAATAAAGTAATTGTCATCGAAAGAATTTAATAGAAAAAACCAGCGAATTCGCTGGACAATTCCACCGGATTTCTACTGAACTTTCTGTTAGTTTTTGGTCGATTCTACTGAGATATTTTTTATAGAATTTCCTCGGTAAAATATTACCACAAAATAAAATGAAATAATAATAAAAATAATAATAATAAGTGAATAATATTAATATTACTATATTTTCCTTGGAGATTTCCCGTTTCTTTTTTTAATTTTCTCAATGAAAAAAAGGAAAATGGAATTTCAAAAAATAGAAAATTAGAGTCGAGAAAATTCTGTAGAGCTCATCTCTCTAGAAATTTCTATAGAATATATTCTATTAAAAATTTCAATGGAATCAGCCAAAAACTAATAGAAATCCAATAGAATTGGCCAGCGAATTCGCTAGGTTTTTCTATTAATTTTCTTCGTGCGTGTAATAGATTCATGAACAACAATACTTCTCCCCCGAATAAAAGTATTACTGCACCTGGTATTTAAAATAACCATGCCAGTGGGATCGATAGACACGAGCAAATCCTTAACACCGTTGCCCATAATTGCGGAGCTCCTTTCATTAGCGACGTAGACCGTTGGTGTCCAGATGAGATCGTGGGTAGTTCTTCCGCCGTAAATTTGGGTGAAATGGGGCGCTACGTCCGAGAATTTCAACCTCGGATCTCGGTAGCGGAATTGAAGCATCATGTGCACGTCGAATTGCTACTCGTAAAATGCGTCACGAAGATGAAATATATCGGTGTTAATTTTTTTCATTTTTCTATTCCTGGGGTTATTATTTTATGACGCATAAAAAGTGAATGAAAACTTTGCGCTTTCTCTAAGAACTTCTATGGAATTTCTATTAAAAACTTCTATTCGTTTTTTTCATGGAAAAAAGTCTAGATTTTCAATTTCAGAATTTTGCCTTTCGATACGAATTTTTTTCTATTGACACATCTTCTATAGAATTTCCTCGATATAAATTTTCCAACTTTCCCACTCTATTTCTATTATTTTTTAATTGAAAAGAATCAAACAAAAGAATTGGAAAATTTAAGCCGAGGAATTTCTATAGAAAACGTGTTAATGGAATGAATTGTATGGAAAAATCGAATTATATTGATTTTTCTATTTAATATTTTCCAATGAACATTTCTTTAAAAAAACGCACAGATAAAAATTCCATTGAAAATGTAATAGAATTTTCCAGCCAATTCTATGGAATAAATTTCATTTCATCCCACAGAAGTTCAATTTTTCAATTTTTATTTCATTTCAATTTTTTGTTCTCAAAAAAAATCAAGCAAAAGTTTTAGAAATTTCTGTAGAATATTTTCAGCGCAATAGAATAAATAAAAATAGCGCAATTTATTTAGAGATTCAACAAAATTTCCCAGCAAATACTCGGGTTTTCAATTGAATTCCTTCGCAGGTGAGAAAAAATGTAAACAAAGTACTTACGAGGGTCTTAGCCATATTAGACTTTATGGTGTATATGTTGGCCCTGCACACGACATGAATCGGGTCACTCGCATTGATCTCACCCGGTGGCCTGACCATTTTGTCGTAGCGGCAATCGTTTGTCAATTCCTGAAGCAATTCCGTTTGTGTCAATGTACTCATTGAGTTGAAGGTCGGGCATGTACCATCTTCTACGGGTCTGTTGACAAATGTGTAGAATGAGGGGATAAAGTATAGATAAAATAAACTTCCGGAGAACTCGCTAAAAAATTTCACTGAATTTCTACTGAATTTTTTGTTGGCTTTTGGCTGATTCTATTTGAAAATTCCGCAGCTTCTCTGCGCGTTTTCCTTTCCGATGGAAAATATTCTATAGAAAACAATTTGTACAATTTATTCTAGTGAGATATTTTCTATAGACATTCCTCAGCTTAAATTCTCTATTTTTTTTTGTTTTTTATTATATTGTAATGAAGAGTAAAGAAAATTGGGAAATTTATGTCGACGAATTCCTATAGAAAATTTCTCAATAGAAAAATTTGTATGGAAATATTAAATTCTATTTTTTCTATAAAATAATAATTCTATAAAATAATCCTTTATTTATTTTATTTTCCTTTCTGTAGAAAATTTTCTGCAGAGAAACGTGCAGCAAAGCTGCGGAATTCTTCAATAGAATCAATAGAACTTCAATAAAAATCCAATAGAGCTTTCGAATTACAATTTTCAGTTCAATTTAAAATTCTCAGGAATTTCGACATTCGGAAATTCAGAATTTATAATTATTTTATTGCATCGGAAAACATGTAGTGAAGCTGCGGAATTCTTCAATAGAATCAATAGAACTTCAATAGAAATCCAATAGAACTGTCAGTTCAACTTCAAATTTTTCATGAATTTCGGCATTTGGAAATTGAGAATTTAGAATTATTTTATTGCATCGGAAAACATGTAGTGAAGCTGCGGAATTATTCAATAGAATCAATAGAACTTCAATAGAAATCCAATAGAATTTTCAGTTAGACTTAAAATTTTCAGGAATTCATATTCATTCATTTGCAAATTCACAAATTGGCGAAGAAATCAATGCGAGCTATAAATTTCAGTTGAATTCCCCGAAAATTCAGGAAAATCAGGGAAATTCAGGTGAATTCATGATCCGCTGAATTAAAAGGACATTGACATTCATCTTTGAAGATAATTAGTTATTGACCAATGGAAAAATTACTATTCCCATGATCATTTCCCGTCTAATAGAGTTTCTGATATGAAAAAGTGATCCATGCTATTGCATAATGTAATGTAACTTAATGACGAAGAACACTAAACACGACATTAAGAACGAATTTTCACTAATTTCACAACCGCAAGTCAATTTCGATAATTGTTTTTTCTCCGATCGTTAAAAACCGATTTTCAGAGCAATATCTCACAAACAATATGTCCAAAATCACCAACAAATTGCGCCATTATTGTCTTATCGTGATAGAATCAAAAGGGCATTAACATTAGATGTTTAAACCCTGATTAATGACGCAGTAACAATTTTGAGACTCATACGGGGTTAATAGGGCTCGATATGAAAAGCCAATTATGGAATTGCGTAGCTCGATCACAAATGGTGATGTATAGTCACCGGATTTTAAAAAAAGATTAAAATTTTTTTTCTAGTCACAGTGCAATCAATTTTAATTATCATCTTTTCAGTAATCGTTAAAAGCCGAGGTCTCGAGGGCAAACGATTCTAATATTGTCGCCGACCTTCAACTTTATGGAAAAAAGAATTGAAATGAATTTTTAAGCAGCAATTCAATTAACTTTAATCATCTTTTTTCCGGTAATCGTTGAGAACGAATTTTCTGAAAAATATCTCTCAAACAATATGTTGTAATTCACTAACAAATTGTTGAATTCTTTCGGAATTCTATTGATATTCTATTCTGTTGTATGTTGCGTAGATTTATATCGCAAGATTTTGAAATTTTTTTTTATGCAAATTAATTTCATTTTCATTTGTTATAATTTTTTTAAAACAGCTGAGAATTTCTTCCGAAGAATATTCGGTAGAAAAAATAGAAATTCATTGACTTCTCATTTCCTGTGAAATGCTTTTCTATTTTACAATGTTTTTATTATTTAAAGTTTGCATTGAACCTTTGGGAAACATTTTTTTTAACTGAAAAAAATTATAAAGTTGACTTTTGGAGAAAGATGGATGAAATAATTTATAAACAATCAATTTTGGACGGCAAAAATAATTTGTTCGGAATTGAAACAAATTTATTCATATTCAGAAAGTTTGAACAATTATTTATTTCCAAAACAACGAGTGTTTGAAAAATAATAATTCTGTGCAAAATGTGATTTGACAGAAGCTGAATATTCACAATTTTTTTCCAAATTTTCCTCACGCAGTTTAATTGACTGGAATGAATGAATGAATTACACTTGTCATTATCTTCTACAATACTATGAGTTCATTAGTGAGAATTGTGAAATTTCTGAGTCATAGAAACGGTGCAATAGCACCAAGTGGACTGACAATGCAAGTTCAACAGAACCATTCATCAGGATGCTCATTATGCCTCCACGCGTCTGCGGTAATTACTTTTGTTTGAATAATTAACTATTCTCCCGATCTTCGAGCGGGAATTCCTCGCAGTTCATTAGTTCGCTCATTATCGATTTACAGAATTGTTGCCTTTTTCGGAAAATTCTCACTCAATTTTGTAAAAGGAACTCCCGCGCTTTTTAATGTCAAAAAGGCGTAAGTTTTCTTGCATTTTAATTATTTAAATTATTTGAGAGAAAAGGTTTTAAAAAAATTATAAACGACGAAATAAAGAAATTATCTGGGTCAGTCAAATATTGTTGCGAATTTAAACAGAGATTTTACGAGGAATTTCGGTAGAAAATTTCTGAATAGAAAAATTCGTATAGAAAGATTAAATTCTGTTTTTTCTATAAAATAATCCTTTATTTATTTTATTTTCCTTTCTGTAGAAAATTTTCGATAGAAAAACATGCAGCAAAGCTGTGCTTCTTAATGTCAAAAAGGCGTAAGTTTTCGTGCATTTAAATTATTTAAATTATTTGAGAGAAAAGGTTTTAAAAAAATTATAAATGACGAAATAAAGAAATTATCTGGGTCAATCAAATATTTTTGCGAATTCAGACAGAGATTTCACGTGGAAATTTTCGGCATTCGGTTGTTTCAAGGATATTTGTTTTGTGTAAATGAATTTGCTTGAAATAATTATTGGGATAATTGATCATTATTTATTAGAATTACAATCTCATTGTTCTCTCGTCTAGAATATTTATTCACAATTTCTCCGCACGCCGATTGTCCTTTCAAGGATATTGGCAATTTTTTCTCCAGTCAAATGCTTTTACTAGAAAAGAAGCTAAACTAGATATTTACCATTGATTGTTTAAAAGTTATTTACAGAAAATGCTCGTAATTTTCAAAAATTGCACTTTTTAAATTATTTCATTAATTTTCCTTCAAACGTAAACTTTTTAATGTTTTTTCAGATTTTTAAAATATTTATTTAAATAATACAATCGGTAAATGCAAAAAAAAATTAAAAAGTTTGCTTTTGAAGAAAAATTGATGAAATAATTAAAAAATTGCATTTTTTCTCAAATTACCAGCAATTTCCACCATAAAAGCCATTTGTGCGGAATCGCAACAAATTTATTTACATTCAGAATTTTACCAGAAATCGATTTCACACCTAAAAAAAAAGATTTCCATAAGTTTAAACAATTTAAACTATTTTATTTATTTACAAATAACGAATGTTTAAAAAAATAATAATTCTGTGCAAAATGTAATTTGATTGACTCTAAATATTCATTCATGATTTTTTACAAATTTTTCTCCCGCAATTTAGAGCAGACTTGGATGTCTTGGATGTCTTTAATTAAAAAAAGGAAAGAATAAAAGAAATGGGATGACGAACGTTCCATGATGCTGCGCTGACAGCTCATGATTGCGTTTTTAAACTCCAGCAAACAGAATTTTCGTCGCCCACAGTAGATAAAGAAGCTCGAATGATTCCCTGATAAAATTATTCAGTCTCAAACATTGTGACTCAGTTCAAACAGGTGAACCCATTTGTTTTTCAGGCCAGCATTGACTCTGAGTTCCGAATGAAATGACTTATCTATTAACAATTGATCCCCAAAAATTCCTCACGGTAGCATTTGCACAGGTGAAATCACCGAAATGCGAAAAATTTCCAATGACCTGTGAAAAAATTCCGAGAATTCGGAATAATTTCATTGTTCTCACTTTTTCCTCAATCCCCCCGTCATTAAACGTATTAATGACCTTGCATTTATTTAACCGTTATAAACATTTCCATCGAGACCTTGGGGGTAATCTTTTTTACGTTAAAACCTGGGAGAGAAGGACGCATTGTCATGCACTAGTAATCGTGGAAAGACCTCACTAAATCTGAATTAATGATAACTTCCGAAATAATTTATTACTGGGTTTTAAAATGTGTGGTGTACCGCAGCCACATTACCTGTGTCACTGTCACGAAATTATGTTTCAGTCGTAAATAAAGAATAAATAGACTCAAAGACTTAAATCCTCATTCTCAAGTCGAAAAGGAAATTATTCAACAATGAATAATTCCTGAATAATTTCCTTTCGTCATTTGATTAATTCTGTAATTCGTAACAATTACTTCGTGCATTTGTCACATTTTCATCCTGAGAGTCACTAATTTCCCGACACTTTTACCGAATTTACAGATAAATCATCATTTTTGAGGGCTCAAATGTATGTCATCTTAAACGTCAATATTTATCACAATTTTTTATTATTTTTCTGGAGATTTTTCAGTTCGACGAACGGAATAAATATTTTCCCTAGATTTCCAGAACAGAAAGGTCTATTGAGGCATCACACTGAGCAAACTGACGATTATTTTCAAGAATAATTGCTCGATATTAATTTTTAGAAACGAAAAATTCAAGTCGACTTGGCTCTCAGCTGAGTTTTCGAGGAATATCTCGGAATCAAAGGGAGATAGCGAAATTTTCGTAACCACCTTTTTCGTAGCTCTCAAGTCGCTCTACAAAAAAGTTATAACAAAAATTTCGCTATCTGCCTTAGATTCCGAGATATTCACTGAAAACCGATCAACAGTCAAAATCGGCTTGAACCGTTTTACCGCTTGGCTACTGAATTGAAGAGCACGTTTAAAAATCTTGAATAGAGAGATTTGAAGAGAATACCGAGGGATAGCCACGTGTGCAAACGCTCAGACTGGAAACCTAAAGGTCGTGGGTTCAAACCCAACGTCCGGCGATTTTTCGTATTTTCTTAAATTGATTTCCGTCACATTTCGGCCAAAATAAAAAAAGCCGCCAAAATTTGTAGAGGATGTCTTCAGACATAAAAAATGTCCCGAAAGACCGATAAATCCTCATTCTCAAATGGAGACAAAAATTCTCGTCTTCCTGAATAATTTCCTTTCATCATTCGCTCAATTCAATTCAACAATTCAATTCAATTCGTAACAATTACTTACTTTCGTGCATTGATCACTGAATGCTGCATCACACACAACAACCCGAGACATATTTCCACCAATAATCTGCCTCTTTTCATGTTTATGAGTAAAAAACAAATCGTAGTAAAAAATTCGTCGAGTACATTAAAAAAAATTGGAACAGGTAGATTAGTAGAGAATGTGAACAGCAGCACTGGCTGACTGTAACTGATGCCGGTACTCCGGGAATTAAATTATCTCACTTGTTTTGGTTTTAACCATTTGCTTGCGTAGTCAAGCGCCAAAGTCAAATGTTTAATTTCCCCTTGCGGCAATCGACTGCTTGCTCACCTCACACATAAACGTTTAAAAAGGCATCTCAGACGACAGTCGAGATGGCACAAAGTGGGTATTATGTACACCTCGAGAGGAAAATTAATACTTTAATTGCCCTCACGTGTACTCCACAAACAGTTGGTGAATTAAGGAGTTCGGCGAGTCTAGGGAGCACATGACAGCCTATTATTCTTCCCCATTTTTCACTGTTCATTGAATTGACAAATCGGAAGTGAGGCTTGATTGATTTTTATTTCATTTTTACACTCATTCAGGGAATTCGGAGGTGTTGTGAGGCTTTATGTAATTGACAGTGTAATTCAAGAAGTGTAGATCCTGCAGTAATCTTGTGACTCTTTTGAAATGCCTGTCGGTGTAGGGAATCAGTGCCTCCAGAGACGATGACAATTCACTCGTTTCTAGATCACTGCTTTCAGGGTCATTTAACAATGCGTTTATCACGAGCTGAAAAAAAAAGTGTAGTAGTAATTGCAGACTTTTGTGTTTTTAGAATTGAAAAGGAAGAATGTGAACGAAGGAAAAATCCCCTCGAATGGGTGATTCACTGGTGTTTGAGTTGATATCAACAGTTTTGATTCAACATTTGTGGACGTCCGCATGAAAAGGGACCACTTTTCGATACGAAGTTATGTATACTCTGATAATATTTATAACACTCCGCACATTTTGAGCCCAAAATGGTCCTCATAGGGTGAAAAATGACGTCGCCGGAGCAGATGAAAAAACCACATTAACATGAGTGTAAATGGCAGTTGCTGAGACAAAAACGTGAATATCTCGGAAACTAGAATCGACAAAGTGGTGCCCTTTTCACGCGGACGTCCACATTTGAATAGGGCATCACGGCAAAATATCAGTCTCAAAATATCACATGAAAAAATATCACATGGATAAATATCATAATATGAAAATATCATTTGTGATAAATATCACTTTTTAAAATATCATATCATATCATGTAATTTTTAAATTTTCAATAATATTAATTAATTTTTTAATTCTCAATATATTCAATGATATTTCAATGGTTTTTCTTGATTTCTCGTCACGTGTGTGAACACGCCCGTGTAATTCTTTCTTTCTCCGATAATTCATTACCACAATACGACTATTTAATTCCATTTTCGGTATGTAAACACTGCTGGGTTTTTCCCTCTCCTTATAAATCAATATATTGTTTTTCTGTTTGGGTTTAGGAGAAATTGTTCGATTTGTTTTCAATTCATGTACACTCGTAATTTTTTTTTTCTAATTTGTTTATGATCATTTTGGTTTGTGATATTTTTTGTGTGTGATATTTTGATTTGTGATATTTTGTTTCGTGATATTTTGAGGCATGATTTTTGCCGGTGATATTTTGATATGTGATATTTTGCCGTGGAGCATGTAGCCATTACCTGAGCAGCCTGGCAATTTCTGCTATTGGTATTCCACCCGACCGCGGACCTCAGCAGTTCCTCCTTCTCCCTCGTCTTGAGTTCGCCCACTGCCCCCCCGAGCCCCCCCTCCCCCTTCCTCAGGATATCCTCCACAATTTTGAGTACCTTGTGAGGCTTCTGCAGTCTCAGCGCGAGCTTGAGCGCCGCCACGAGCTGCTCCCCCTTGAGCAGATTCGCCAATTTCTGCTCCTCGAGGATCATCTCCTCGCGCTCAGCAACAGCCCTCAGCCTCTTCTCCTCCGTGACGTCCCTCCACACGACGATAATCGAGTCTGACCCCCCGGAGATGACCCTCCTCTCGTCCTGGCTGACCGCCAGAGCCCAAACTCTGCTCTCGTGCTGCTCAAAGGTGCCGGTGCACTCCGAGGTCTTGACACTCCAGATCTTCAGCAAACCATCGGCCCCAGAAGTAACCAATTGCATTCCCCGGGATATAAATTCCGCTCGTAAAACCGACGACTCGTGTCCCTCGAAGGTCTTGAGACAGTTGAGCTCGGCGAGAGACCAGAGTTTCATCGTGCAATCGGCGGAAGTCGTGAGGAGGACCTGATCAATCGGGGAAAACCTGACGCACCAGACGCCCCTCCTGTGGCCCCTGAGAATCCCCAGGAGCTGGAGGCCCTCGGCACCCCAGATCTTGGCAGTTTTGTCCTGCGATCCTGTGGCAATCAGCTTGTCATTCGGCGAGACGACAACGCAGTTGATGTCCTTCTCATGCGCAAGAACCGTGTGGGCAGCGTTGAGAGTCCCCGAGTCCCTGGGCGACATCTTCTCCGGGAGTTCCCATAATTTCAGGCACTGATCCTGACTGGCGGAGACGAAGAACCTGGCGGACGCCTGGGAGAGTGCGACCGAGCCGACGGAGGCGGTGTGACGAATGCCCGAGGCGATTGGGACCATTGAGAGGTCCTCGGGGGACATCAGCCAGACTCTCACGCTGTTGTCCTTGGCCGAGGAGACCATGAGACTTCGATTCGCTTGGGTGACGCAGAGCGACAGCACGAGATCGGTGTGACCTCTCAGCAACTGACAGCTCATGGTCGAGAGATCGTAGAGCTTTATGTCGCAGCTGTTGGTGGCAACTGCCAGGTGACTCTCGCCGTCGCCCACGTGGACAATGTCCAGGATCTCGTCGGTGTAACCGACGAATTGTTTTTTGCAGGAGAAATCGGTTAGCGAGTGGAGGATTATGTTGTGGTCCACTGAGACCACTGCGAAGGTGTTTGAGGGGCTGTTGAGGAGGAGATGCGTCACTGCGAGACCACCGGCTTCCTGGGAGGGCTGGACTAGCGGGCGCTCTTGGGCGTAGACCTCGCGACCTGATCGCATCTCCCAGATCCTTATCGCGCCCTTCTCCCCACCGGCGCTGACGAGGATCTCGTCGTCGCTTGCGGGGGTTTTTTGGGCGGGGAAGGGCGAGGCGGGGGGCATTATGAAGAGCCCTTCGATCGACTCGTAGACCGGGAGCGTCCGCAGGGAGACGCCCTTGTCCAGGTCCCAGAGGATCAGGACTTTGTCGCGACCTGATGATACCAGGTGGGTGGTGTCGGCGTGGAACGACAGGGAGGTGATGCGGCTGAAGTGACCTGCGGGGGAGGCATTGTATTTGACGAGGGTTTTTGGAGGTTTTTTTCAATTCAAGGAGAGGAAAACTCGAGTTAAAAGTTTAGGTAGAGAGTGGCTCAGAAGAAGTATAGAAAAACGAAATTCTACGGATTTTTCTGGAAAACAATTATTTGACAGCTTCGATAACAAAAACACGCCTGTGAAGCTGAGGAATTCTTCAATAAGTCAAAGATTTTCCATCAAATTCGCTGGGTTTTTTTACAGAAATTCTGCAGTTCAAATTTTCCAAATTTTTAGGTCTGATTTTTTTTGATGAAAAGAAAGAATAAAGTGAAAAAGAATTGAAAATTCACGTTGAGGAATTCCTATAGAAAATGGCTCAGAAGAATTATTTTTTTTAGAATCAGAAGAATTTAGCTCAGAAGAATAATTATTTCGAGGAAAACTCGAGTTAGAAGTTTAGGTAGAGAGTAGCTCAGAAGAAGTATAGAAAAACGAAATTCTACTGTTTTTTCTGGAAAACAATTATTTGACAGCTTCGATAACAAAAACACGCCTGTGAAGTTCAGGAATTCTTCAATAAGTCAAAGATTTTCCATCAAATGCGCTGGGTTTTTCTACAGAAATTCCTCAGTTCAAATTTTCCAAATTTTTAGGTCTGATTTTTTTTAATGAAAAGAAAACAAAATAAAGTGAAAAAGAATTGAAAATTCACGTTGAGGAATTCTTATAGAAAATGGCTCAGAAGAATTGTTTTTTTAGAATCAGAAGAATTTAGCTCAGAAGAATAATTATTTCGAGGAAAACTCGAGTTAGAAGTTTAGGTAGAGAGTAGCTCAGAAGAAGTATAGAAAAACGAAATTCTACTGTTTTTTCTGGAAAACAATTATTTGACAGCTTCGATAACTAAAACACGCCTGTGAAGCTCAGGAATTCTTCAATAAGTCAAAGATTTTCCATCAAATTCGCTGGGTTTTTCTATAGAAATTCCTCAGTTCAAATTTTCAAAATTTTTAGGTTTGATTTTTTTTGATGAAAAGAAAACAGAATAAAGTGAAAAAGAATTGAAAATTCACGTTGAGGAATTCTTATAGAAAATGGCTCAGAAGAATTATTTTTTTAGAATCAGAAGAATTTAGCTGAGAAGAATAATTATTTTTTCTTTTTTGATGAAAACAAAAAATAACTGAAGCAAAAAAACATGAAAATTATAGAATTTAATTAGAAATATTTCGAGAGATAATTTAAGATATTAAAATATTTTCCATAGGAATTCCTCGGCTCTAATTTTCCTCTAAGTTTTTTGTTCAATTTTTTTAATGAAAAAATGAAAAGAAGAGAAAACTGCAGCGAAAAAAAATTCACGTCGAGGAATTCCTGCAGAAAATGTCTCAATAGAAAAAATTGTACAGAGAGACAAAATTCTTCTGATTGAAATTCTGCGGAAAAAGTAATAGAAATTAATAGAACCTCAATATAAATTCAATAGAATTTCCCATCGCATTCGCTGGGTTTTTCTGTGAAATTTTTCATGCTCGGAATTCTGTCTCACCCGCGAGGATCTTCTTGAGGGCTCCAGTGGTGGTGTCCCAGCAGTAGATTTTCGTGTCGTCCCCGGCGGCCAGGACGAGGTTTCTGGAAGGCTCCGGGTGGAACTTCAGGACACTCACGACCCCCTGGAGGCCCTTCAGATTGTGCGTGCACGCGTGGTGGTGGAGGTCCCAGAGGCGCACGCTGGAGTCGCTGCCCCCGGAGGCCATGAGACGGTCGTCCGGGGCGAGCGCGATCTGGGGGACTGGCCCCTTGTGGATGGACTTCCAGAGCTTCTTCGGGGCTGGGTCGCTCCAGGAGAAGAGCTTGAAGAGGCCGCTCTTGTGGTGGGTTATCACAGTGTCGGAGATGGGGCTGAGGGTGAATGTGTTGATTGTGTCCTCTTCGGGGGTCGGGGGCCCTAGGGTGGCTATCACCGAGCCTTTTGAGAGGGAGAGGACCGATACGGAGGCGCCGTTCTGACAGAGGAGGTGCTCGCCGTCTGCACTCCACTGGTTTTGCGAGAACAGTGAGAGGGAATTAGGGAAATTCCACTTGAGGTTGTTCATTTAATTTGAGAGCCCTCTCAATCGATCCTGAACGATTTTGATCGGGGAAAATTCAGTTTTTTTGCACTGATGGGGGAAGATAAAACGAGAGCTCTGATCATTGAGTTTCCAAGGACTTCCACTGGTTTTTCTTCAAGGGCATTTGAGCCTACGTTTCCGGACGTTTTAGAATGACTTCATTATTTAATTCGTGGTTTTGTTATTTAACGGAATTTTAATCTCGATATTGAAACATTTATTTGAAATCGTAGCAAATCTAGTCATATTCAGTGTTTTACCAGAAATCGAATTCATGTCTAAAAAAATAAGGTTTCTGATAATTTAAACAATTTCATTTACTCGTTTATAAAATAATGAATGTGCGAAAAAATAATAATTCTCTGCAAAATGTAAAGTGAATGACGTTGAATATTCATGATTTTTTTGCAGTTTTCTCATGCAATTGAATTCACAAATTTGATAATTTGATGATTTGAATGCTTGGATATCCTTTAAGAGATATTTAGTCGACTATCGGAGCTTTCATTTGAGCCCCATTTGACCCTAAATTTTCGAACATTTTACAATGATTTTATTATTTAAACTTTGCAAGTCTGAATTTGAATCTCGATAATGAAACGTTAGAAACCATTTTAAAAACTTGAAAATAAATTAGAGAGTTTACTTTTGGAGGAAGATTGATCAAATAATTTAGAAGTTGCAATTTTTTAAAATTACAAGCATTTTTTATAAATAGTTTAAGCGAAAAGAAAAAAATTGATTGTATATGCATAGGGACAGGGTCTAAAAATTGCATTTTCGAATTTTTTAAATTCTAACGAATTGATGTAACACAAAAAATCCAAAACTTAAATTTGAACAATTGCAAAATTTCCATTTGAAGCAAAAAAAATTAATTTCAAATCAAAAAATACATTTGAAGCAAAAAGATTAAATTCCATCAATTCATTAGCGAGCAATCAAAGAAAAATTCGATTCCATACTAACGGACAGGACCTAAAAATAGCATTTTCTAATTTTTCGAATCCTCACATGCTAATATAGGGGAGGGGGGGATAAAATGGAGACTTTCGACTTTTTTTCAAGTGTTCATAACTCAGAAACAAATTTATCAATTGAGCTCAGTTTAGGCTCGTCACAAAGGGAAAGAATTGTCCTTTGTATTGAAAAAAAAATATATTAAATTTCATCAACATTTCAACCCCTCATTAACATTTAAAAAAAGTCAAAAGTGTCCGTTTTACCCCAACCTCCCCTTCCCCAAAAATCCAAAACAAATTTGAACAGCGACAAACTTTCCTTTCGAAACAAAAAAAATGATGAAACCGAAAAAACTGACTTCAAATATTTATTAACAAATACAGTAACATACCTGAACATTCCCCCCTGTGTAAAAGGGCCCATGTTTGGTTTCCACTTCGAATCTGCGGATAATTCGAGCGTAAATATAACCTCCAAGACCCCCAGCCCCAGAACCCCAGCGAAAATCCGAATACTCACGTGTCCTTGATACTCGCCGAACTGCTCATGTTGACACAATCCCCTGATCTCGTCAATTCAATTTGTTCTCCAACGATTGTCAATTGTGATGTTTCGGAGCGAAGCACGTGCTCCTCTCAAAAACATGCTGTCCGAGAATAAAAAAGAGCCAACGCCTCTAGCGGACGTCTCGCTCACTTACTCCCCTCGCGAAAATAAAAGTGAAGGGGGTGAGTTCTGATCGGAGGGGAACAACAAGTCAACAATAACAGGTGTTAACAATAACAATAAGGGAGAACACAATGTCACTGTTGGCGAACAATTGCCGGAGGCTGACATCCCTCAGCAGCAGCTTTCTTCGTTCACCAGTCGTCTCTTCCCAGTTCGTTCCCCATCAGAATGCATCGAAGAAGTACGAGTCCAAGAAGTGGCCGGGGTACCACGTTATTTACAGTTTGCCTGATGTGAAGAGGGTCAGTCTCATGAGCCGGTTGAAGCTCCAGGTGACGGTTATCTCGGGAATAGCAATACCAGCGGTCTGCCTGATGGAGGTTAACTGGGGCCTGACGTCGGCGTTTGTTCACAATGCAACATTCATGTGTGAGTTTGGGGGAGTGGGGCAAAAGGGATTATTTTTAATTTTTTTTCCAAGACATTTTCGAGAAGAATTCCTCGACATAAATTTTCCATGTCTTTTTTTCATCATTTTTTGGTGTTCTCTCATTGAAAATAGTGAGGGAAATTTATTCTAATTATTCTGAATTTGGGAATAGGTTTACCAGAATTTTTTATGATTTTTGGTAAAGTTTATTGAATAATTGAAGTGATATTTGGGATTTTTATTGTATTTATAGGTGAGTTTGGGGGAGTGGGGCAAAAGGGATTCTTTGAATTTTTTTTTCAAGACATTTTCGAGAGGAATTCCTCGACATAAATTTTCCATGTCTTTTTTTCATCATTTTTTGGTGTTCTCTCATTGAAAATAGTGAGAGGGAAATTTATTCTGATTATTCTGAATTTGGGAATACGTTTACCAGAATTTTTT